TTTGTTTGTTTTTTCATTTCATGCCACGTCACACGGTGACCTGCATTTCTTGTTTCCAAGTTAGTAACAATATTAGTGATTCACCTTTAATTTGGACAGAGAATTCAATGGGACTGGCTCGGCTTCCTTCTGCATTTTCTAGGTACTGAATACAGCGATCGACAGGAAATGCTATAGACGCTTTTATGGGCCGCCACGATCAAGACCACGTGTGTACGGCGCCGCGTCGGCTATCGGTTTGTACACCTCCTAGAGGACCATTAAAAAAATGAGTTTCCTAGATTGTACAGAGTTTGCACATCTTAAATCGATTCCATGTGAAATATGCCTGCAAAGCACTGCTGCTTTAACAAGTAGTGATCCGTTACTAGTAGTCTTTTAGCGTTGCTTCGAGAACTACCAATAGAACGATTCCATAAACTTATGCGTAAACAGTAATTTAGCATTGTGTTAAATAGCGCCGCGGAGACAACAAAGTTGAGTAGAAAGTTAGACGTTCATATGCGCGGAAAAATATTCGTATCTTCACATCAATGAGCCGCTTATTTCTTTACCTCTATCGAAGGCTTATGGTACTTATCACGCCTAAAGATGCATAACTAGTCATGTTTGCTCAAAATTGGTTTCCGGCAGTTGGTCACCAATCCGAGCTACTACCATATAGCCAAGAAATCAAAGAACATAACGACAGTCCATTAAATTGGTAAATATCTCTTTGGAAGAATCTTTCCTCAACGTTGGCCGACCTTGTTCGTGTTCATTCACTTGTTATTATCATATTTTCTCAGCTCATATTCATAGCTGAACAAAAGCCAAGATCAATCTTCACGCGAAATCTATGGGGGACTCGTTTCTCCAGACGAACGACGCGCTCACTGATCGATAGTTGGCGTTATGTGTGAAATCACAAAATTAAGACAGAATAAGACGTTGATATGTATTGTAAGGCAACTTTTGCGGATTAAGTCTGTTGCCCTTGACCAAGGCCAGTTTATTTTCAATTTGAAAAATATTTACTTGTCTATGTAATATATGTAAGAGGATGTGTAACGCATTAAACAATTCCACAAGGACAGCTTATTCAGCTTTGTCCAGTAATCAGCCTCGCATCAATGTTATGGAAAGGGTTCAAAATAAGAAAGTTTTCGTTTCAGATTTTGCAGTGTGTGTTTGCTGGTCTATCAAATTAAATACAGTGACATAAACAGTATAAGATATAATTTATATATCATATTGAAAAGCTGCTGCCTATTAGGTGTTTCGGCTGTAGTTCTTCGAGGACAGCAAGGTTCCTTTGACCTTTGATTTAATAACCTGTTAACGAAATATTTAGATGATGGATCCTTATTTTAGGCAAATGTACAGTGAAAAGATTAGCGTACTTGCACATGAGAGGTGCATTATTTTCAAAATGAGAATTCGTTTGCGTATGCTAAAATTTGGGATTCTTCAAGTACTAGTTGCAACAATGAAACAATGAGGGTCTTTTTACCAGAGTTCAAAGCAGATTCATATTTGCAGACCTTTTTCATCCGGTCATAGTCCCAGTTTCTATAACAAGTCATCACACACGGATCTGACTGAATGCGTCAAGTAGTTACATAAAATCTACCCAAACGTATGCTAACATTGTTGTTCGGACTATTGAGCTAGAACCATTGAGGTCTGAATAACGTAAGTCGATTGATTAATGGCGCTCGCTTCCAGTAAGTAACTACAGCCTCCGTAATATTTATGATGAAAATAATTGTTTAACAGTAGATATACAGGAATTATCGAATGGTTACAATTATTGATGATTTGAAATTGTGAAATTTTTTTTTCAAAGAGCCATTTCTTGTTCTTGAAAGCCTAAATGATATGTCGTATTGAGCACGCATACTGTGGTTCCAGTCAGACAGAATTGTCATCTATTGTTATGGGTATGAGCGCTGGACCATTTTTCGCAAAATTTTTGGCGCATGGAGCAATGGTGGATTTCCGCGTAACACGTAGGTGCTATACCTGAGATATTTGTGTGGTATTAAACAATCTAAACGATTTATAATATTTGAAATGTGCTTCTTCTAGGATACCGAAGAGAAGCGCGAAGGGCGCTTCTTTGACGAAATAGGCTGATCTGACGAGCATGATTAGCTAGCATGATATGCAAGTAATGAGAGGAAAGTACCTTCTTCATTTATTTTGAAAAACGTCGAACTGTACAAACTAGAGGCTACAAAGTAGTAAAAGCTACAAAGCGTTTTGGTAGGGTTAACATTGACATACTAATAGTAACCTTGCCAGTACTATGTTGAATTGAAGGCGAAAATTTCTGTGTATGAGCAGATAATATGATTTTAATTATATACTCTTGACCTTCTTAATGAATTGACAACGGATCTGTTTTGGTTAAGGTCCAATTATAGATTACAAGAAACAAATGTGACCTTTTGATATCGAATTTTCGCACCGTACTGTTGCTAGTATTTGTTATTATATAGCATTATTTTGCTAGTAGTGAGTAGATCTGAGTTAATCACTAGCGCATAGCAGCAACAAGAATACGATAATGTACAATAATAAATTAGTGGTACAAGCGTAAAAAAGTACGTCTACTGAAACGTCTGATCACCCAGAAGATAAGCAAACTAATTAGTTTCAGAAACAGTTTCCTGATACAAACTAACCTGTGAAACCGGGATTAACGATAATACGCTAATTAGGCGGTTAGCGAACGGGTGGTGCTCAATAGTTTACCTAGCGGAACTAGACATGAGCCCGCTGCCGCGTCTTAAACATGTAAATGAGCATTATGATATTTTCAATATATTTTTTTATATTATTGTTCTGATGGCTATTAATTATTCGTATATAAGGCCCACAATTACTTTAGTCGGCTAAACGGTTCGTTGTATCAGCAACTCAAATGAATAACTCGTCTATACAAAGGCGTGGTACTAACGATACTCATACAAATATCGAAAACCATTGTATAAGTACAATTGATGGTGAAATATATCGAACACCATGGCTGTTTTTGCATTACTACTGGATTCACTAGTGATAAAGGCAGCAGCTAAAGGAAGAAAAAAACGTACATTTTTGTGCCTCAAAATCGTTAGACAGATAAATGATACAAATGGCAAATAACTATGCTTATATGTGCAGAGTTGTACACTAACTGGTTATCGAGAAAAACAGGGAGTGCTTTTTTCACCTCTAATAAATGCGTGTCAGTGCTTGACGGCTATCTACGATAATCAGACCTAAGAGTTCTTCGAAGCTTAGCTTAGCATAAACATGCAAGTAATAGTTGCAGATTGGTAGTTACGACCAACTGCAGTGCCTGAGCTTCAACAATGAGTATTAAAAAGAGGAATCATGAAAAAAGTAAAACAACTCAAATGTTCGGCTTCTATAAAAGTTTGGTAAAAAAAAAAGTTACGGGAGAACAGTTAGCAGTATTTTACTTTGACTCAGCTCATTCCAAACCAATTTAATGAGTTAAGAATCTTTTTGTCACCAGACAGAAGAGGTGGACAGAACAATGGTTTTCGGTTAAGTGCTGTCCTGGAGAACCGCAAAGCTACTACAGGCTGTTGTAGACCACCTTGCAAGCACTGCGCTCTATACGATGATCGGCTCTGAGGAGGCGCTGAAGACATTTGATGCATTTTAACGGACTGTGCACAGTGGCTTTAGATGATGGTCATGAGCCGTCGGAGCTTCGGTGAAACACAACTTCAATGAGGCCGCTTCACCCTGCACCTGTAGCTCGTCGTTCACCTTATCCGCTTTTGAGCGCCACGCAGATTACAAACAGGATAACGGCAATAGACGGTCGCGTGCAAAAAGCCTCAACAAACCGCGAAGTGCTTCTTTTATGCTAACATATATTGGTGGTCCTCTTAAGAACGATAGGAGCAATATTTTAAACTAAACGCAAAAAACATTATGCTGGCAATCGGTAATGTTGTAGAGAAGTGCCTAGATGAAAGGTTGTTGCTGCAGTAATCAGGCAATAAGAGAGAACCTTTCAAGCTGTTTCCCGTCCACTGTTACGAATAAAAAAATACGGAAGAAAGATCTAGGTATATTCTTCAAGTAATTAAAAAAAAAGAAAAAAGATTTCCGCCAAGAAATAGCATGTGCGAGCCAGTGACGTGTGTTGCCAGTACAGCACTTGCGAACAAAGCATTGAAGTCTTTAGAGGTTGTTGGAATTTCCGCATTCTTATGTAGCAAACCGGCCTTCTACTGGCCGTGATTCCAAAAAACGATAGTATATAGTTCAAGCTCTCAAAAGACTGTTTTAATATATTCATAGTTCACGTAATGCAGAAGCAGAGGTTTACTTGTAATGAAAAGCCAGTATATTCAAAAGCAAATGTCGGCAAAAGTGAGCACTTTCTCTGAGGTCCACCTTGGCTGGAGCTGTGATTATTAAGCATTCGCACGAATCAAATTTGTATATTACAGAATGTCACTTTATGGCACTTTATGACGCTGACCTTATCGACAAGTGAGCAGTTATCCTCTCCGTTTGCCACGAGACGCCGAGATCTTCTTGTTGACGTTGATTATTGCTGGATGTTATTGTGCAGAGAGTTCTCACGCCGAGCCAGCGGCGTAAGAACTCTCTGCACAATAACAAAAGGTTAGGTGCTTTTTTACGATGTTTTAAAGTACATATGAGCTCACTAACAGACGTTCCTTGGAATACATACGGAACAGCATATTAGAAGCACCTCTGCCATTTTGAATGGTGTTTTTCTAATTAAAACTGCTATTGTTTCACTTAGATTATACTTAAAACGATTAAACCATGAAGATCTTGTTGCTGTTGCCGTTGCATACATGTTTATTTGAACTAAATCCTATGTCATATGCACGCATTGCGTCACAAGCTACTCGGTTTATATTAATTCAAGTTAATTGTAAAACTAAATAATTTTTATTTTTGTATGACGGGTATAAGAGATACTTCCAGTAAAAACATATGTTATTAGTTACATGGTTCAATTTTTAATTTATTAAAAATATCGGCTTGGTGACAGTAGGAAGCCAATCTTCCGCAGCAGCACAAATTCTACGAATAGAGTTTTCAATTTTTCGAGTTTTCCGTCTGCTATTGCCATTAGGCATTCCATCAGATGGCTTGCTTCCAGCACAAAACGAGGTGTGTCTACCTCTGGGTTTGCAACGTGTTACCAATATCAACAAACAAATAAGTTAATCTGTAAGCTATCTCGAGAACCTGTGCATAGATCTACTTACCTTGGCATGGCATTCAAAACAGTATAATTTTCAAGGTTGAGATTCACGCAAACTTTATTTGACAAACAAAGGTGCTTTGTGAATACTAAATGACCATTTATTTTAAGCATGTATAACTGTCCTTGCAGCGAGTGTTATGATAATATGCAGAACCTAAATGCACTGCCTGATTGTTCCATTTAATACAACATATGACTATAATATGAGTAGCTAGGACAAACGGTTCCGCTGTTGTGGCAGAAGTTGAATTCTTAAGTTCTACAGAGATTAAATAAATACCTGTCACATTATCATAAGCTAGTTTATTAAAATCCAGCCAGGCAATAATACCGATGATTGTTAATTGATCATAGATTTGGCACTAAATGCGTACTCATTATAATGTTGCTCAGGCGGTATGCTGTAAGTTGAAATTTTAACAAGAAGAAAAGTTAACAGGGGATAATTAGGATGTGAGGATATATAAGTGTAATATAAGAAAAAAAAACTTTTACGAAAAATCAACGTTTTGTTACTGCAGGATCATTATAGAGTCGTACGACCCTATTGATGAGTAGAAAAATGCGTGAAACACGCACTGAAGCTAACGCCGGAGCTAGCGCCGTGCGTATCTCCAATATCAAGTAACAATCGCCACTTGACCTGTGCCGTAGCGAGTCTTACCACGCATCGGCCGTTGTTTGCAAATTATGGATACACTCAGTTTGAAATACTTCATTTTTTGTTATGTAGGCTGAACAATGTACTATATTCATTTTTAGAAAATTATATGGTTTCTCTTGCTAAGACCTTGCATAGAACCTTGCATATATATATTGATCAGCTTCTTTGGTTGACGTATCTGTTTCTTGTTAGTAAACGCTGACCCAGCATCACTGCTTCTCAATGACGGTCATAGTTTCCTATAGCATACGTCTCGGAATATTTTTTTTTCGAAATGTCAAAATTCATGATTGGTTAACCGAGAAGAAGAAAAGGAACTTATTTTTATCAAGTTTTAAACCAGTTTTAAGCTCAAATCTTAAATAATCATTTACTCACAAATTTCATAAGCACTTTGGCCACAGCAGAAACAATGTCAGCACCTACTTAGTAGTATTCAGACAGTAACTGCGATTAGATGTACTGAAGCACACACAGAAAAAGACGGCTATAGACACGACAAAGGAGTAGCGAATAAAAAACAATATTTTTGCTATTCAGAATATAGCCACATCCAAAGATAACGATGTGCAAGTTACGTTTTTCTACGTACGGTTTCGAAACGTCCCAATGAGTTTAGCAAAAAAAATAATACTTCTGATCATGAGCTGGGGCGTGAGACATCCAAAGCTGAACGCTGTGTCAAAAATCTGCTCTTCGTGACTTGAGAAAAATAGCTTCGCTCATTCATTAAGTAACGGCTTCCGTATTACTGATCATCACCAATTCAAGATCAAACTGCAACCTACACGATCTTCAGTTACGTATATATATATATACATACACAAATATATATATATATATTAGTATACTTGTGTATTTTATTAGATCGGTGTTAGTTTCGGAGCCATGATGACGGCCACTTCGTTCGTTATCCAAATTGTCTTTTCGATTAAAAAACTCGCTTTGATTATTCTCACGTTTTTGGCGCTCCATAGGTTCCAATTTTAGCCGCCTGGCAATCTCAGCCTCGAAATCTGTGTTAACCTGGGGCCGAAGATTTTTTTGTGAACTGCCAGCAGAAGTTCCACTGCAGGAGTCCGAGTCACTACAAAGACTAATTTTGGGGTATGGTGATTGGGAATCTGTTATCTGGGTGACCATTTTTTGTGGCTTGAGTATGAAGATGCGGGCTGGACAAGTTTCTTGTTTTCCAACTAAATAGTTATTTTGAGTGGATCGGTCTTTTTTCGAGGAAGTCTCATTATCACAACTTACATCGTTATCGGAATCAACTCTCTGAGGCCGTGGCTCATTTGAAGCAATATATTGTGAAGGCTGTTGTTTTGTTGTGCTTGCCTTGCGTTCCTTTGCATCAGGCTTATCACTATACAAGTTGCTTTCACTATCTTTGGATGTTATCACCGAAAGTACTTCCTGAGTGCTTCGTATCTTTGGAACTAAAACTGTCTTCTCTTTCATCGGAGATTTCGTTATTAAATATTGATTGTGCCGTCGTAAAATGGTGGCGGCATACTGTCTTTCGGAATCCGAGTCTGAGAAATACTGTTTTTCCCCATCCGACTTTGAGAAATAACTATTGTCCTGAGTAGACGTAATGGTATCCATCGGCGTGACAAAGCTGCATTTCTCTGTGGAATTCGGCGTAACTACAGGGTATTCATCTTCTTCCTCACTCGAACTTTCTTGATCGTTCATGTACAATTGACTACACGAAACTTTGAAGATTTTCTGCTGGCTGTATGTAAAAAAGCCGATGATATCTTCGTCTGACCATTCGCCTTCCATCAAAGTTGCTAAAGTACTGCGAACCTCACCGAGACTAATGCTGTTAGAGACGGACGCTAAGATTTTACTTTGTAGATGCCGGCACACATTAGCGGGATTCTGCAGAGATCGGAATTTGGCATTTTTCTCCATTGTGTTTGAAATATAGGGTCTTGAAACGACGGTTATTATTGTAACGGGTGCGCAATTAGCTTAACAAAGTGCAGATAGTCATTTAATGAAAGATGATATCTTTTCAATTAAGCAGAAAGATAAGGCCGGTGCTTTTTTACTGTCTTAATTGACAATCGACTACCGTTGTCATATGTTAAGCGTGCACCGGATCCGCCAGTATAACACATTTCAGTTGCGGCCACCTGCAGACATATGAATAATTCAGACTTTTAAATTTCTCTCTAGCTTGGCCTGGTATGGGATTGTAAAAAAAGTGCTATTTCAATATGTTCATTGTCGTAAACGATACAGTTGAATCACTACTGTTTATTACAATTTATATTATGTTATGTAATAACTTATACCACTATTCAGCTGTTTTTGTTTCCTTCTGAGCGGTTTTAAGGTGTTGATTTCCCTCTAAATAAACCTACAGAGACGACAACTGGGAGATCGCGTTATCCAAGTTCAGGTTTCTAACAGCATGTCAGGAGTTACCATACTGAACATGGCTGTGAATGCTCGCATAGTTGCGGATATAAATAAATAGTCAAATAATTAATTCCTTAATATATATAAATACATATTCAGCTCAATGACTCAGCAATAATTTCCGATAAGTTGACTACCAATTATTTTTAGTGATGGTATTGAGTTCATGTAATTTTTAATTTAAAAATTTTAGCGACAAAAAAGTACCTTCTAAATATTTCTAATTGCATTTTTAGTATTTGAGTCATATGGGTAAGACCACGCCCTTTCAAATATTTTACCCATTTTTAGTTATACGTAATTCAGAACCTTTTTCGTTATGATGTTCAGCTCGTTACAGCCACCAGGGAGTACCACGCTGGATACTATTTCGGTCGTCAGCGATCTATTGTCACGGGCTGTGCTACGCCTATTAGGGCTGTAGTTTGACCATATAGCGACTACCTTGTATATTTTAGAACCATGATACCGGCTGCCCAAATAGTGCAAAGTATCGAGTGCCAACCTGAAATGACGCTGACATATTACTAAACGCAAGGGCCATATTTGACAAAATACGTTATGCAACATTTATACAAAGCTAACGTAATAAAGCAAATGAAATATATATGGACACAGAATTCACTTTCTTAACTTTTTTTCGTTACTAGCAAACTATAGCAGTAATTCAGTCCAATTGAGAGGTGGAATAACGCACTTGATGCACCAATTTCCATTTCAATATATAAGGCAAGATAAATTAGAATTCAAAGGTTGCCGCTACACGTCCAACAAATTTTGAATAGCTATGAAATACAAATGTTTTTCTGTAAAAAATTAAGTGACATGTTTTTTTCATACGCATGAAGGTTAGCTTATCAAAAAAACTCAATAAGTTATTTCACAAACGTCGACTGTTTTTTGTCCACCACATGTCTATTGGCTCCTCTCACCTTAAAGATTGCAGGAGCATTTGTTGATCGTTTTATTTTAAAAGTTAAATCTTTTTATTTATAATTCATTTGACAAATGACATGCACTTTAATTTCCGGACCACCTGATTTTCTCACAAAATAAAGTGGCGCAATTGATCTGTTTATAGTTATGTTGTGAGAAAGGGTATATCGACCCGAGACAAACCTAAGCTTCCCCAATAACGCGCGCCTTTTAAATTTGAATCTACGATCGTATTATACTAAAAAGAAAATAAAGTTACAGCTGTTTTGACTTGCATGCAAACTGATACTCCATAATAACTTAACATAATGTACTGATTGTCAGCTAGAAAAAAAACGGTGATTCAATTTACAATAAATCTCGAAATGCAATTTGGTATATACCAAGAATACATTTTAATTATTTTATCCAAAGCGAATTATACAACATACAAATAAATACGCAGTGTATCTCAGTTATAGAAAATGCCCATAATAGAAAACTATTGTATACACAAAGTCTGTGCATTCGTCCAGGTTTCGAAAAAGAACGACGGTTCAGTCTCAATAAGATAATATTAACAATTTAACAACAAAACACGAAAAGTTGCCACTTCTATATCTGTTTTATTGTAAAATCGATAAAATTATTAGTTGTGTCAAGAAGGATCTAAAAACAATTATGAACTTGAAGAAGTTAGCGTTTCTTAAGAAGTTTCTTCAAGCGTAAAAATAAGGAATTATAAAGTCAACTAATATTATACAAAATGTAATTCCATCGTGACATAGCATATCATTTTTTGGAAAGTTTCACGTATGTAAATTACCATTAATACCAGGTTCAGATCAGGCTGCTAATTGGCCGTTTCGAAGTTATGATAAAGAACTGAAACAGAGTAATGTTTATATATTCTTTGAAGGTTATTAGGCACTGTATGTTGATAATAAGTTTGTGTATCTCTATTGGGCATTCTCCATTTTTCTTTGTACTTTCTAATTAAAAATGAAACATAAGGAACTCATTTTAATTTGCTTTAGGGGAAATTATAAGTTTAGTAAGCTAATTTACAGGTGGTTTGGTGCGTGTCACTCTTCTAATGCGTATTTAGCATTTCTGCAAGCCCCCTGAAGCATTCACCTACTTCGTGAATAAAAGATCTACTTTAAATTCTCAACAAACTTCAAATATTTATTATGTATTGTGGGCTAGTTGAGCATGCGTTATAAATTAAAAGCATCATTCACCCTGTGACATTTTTAATTGTTTATTGCTTTATTTAATCACATTTGCCAAGTAGTGTGCATTGTTAACGGTGTTTGAATAGACGACAGGCGCTTCTTTAAATGATAGTGGGTTAGAGGAAGTCGCTGAGTTGGACACATTTCCCAATACCGCATCGTGAATAGCGAATCTATCCATTTGTTGAACTAGCATGTTAAATGTCCAAGTTCATTTTAATGGGACAAATCAGTGCCGAGTGGCAGAGGTTTTATTCTTCTGAAACCAAATCTCTCTTTAAATTATCTACTGTAAGGTAAAAGTAAGGATGTAGTGTTTGGTCCGTTAAAACCCTGACGGCAAATGCCAGTACTGACTAGGTGGAGCTCTGCAGTAGATGTAGGTAACTAGTTGGAGAAAACACAGAGATTAAAATAAATAATATATATTAAAAACAGTAAAAGTGTAAAAGGTGTCATAGTTATAGAGCGGTATTTTTATATTCCTTCATTTTGAAAATAGTTATTCCTGTCCATCGTCATTCAGGTTTAACTTAGCCGAGGTCTTGTTAAAGGTACGTTTATTATTATTATTATTATTATATATATATATATATATATATATTATTTTATTTTGTTTTTTATTCTTTATATTTAATTTAGTTGAAGTGGTAACACGGCAGAGGTGCTTTCCTAATTTAGCTCACAAATGCCTACGTGGGTTGGCGAAGACCTTCAACTAGTGCATCTAAATCGATCTTAAACGAGTCTAAGGTTTTCAAATCTTAGATAATAATAGGTGACAAGTTTGCCAATTAAAATTCATAAATTTAACACTAACCTCACCGTTACTACTCGTGCTAGTGACTTAATTCAGTTAATCGTTTTGTTAGCTGCTAATTAGGTAATGTTCCTAATATCAACAGACAAATAAGTTCCTTTCTAAGCTATCTCGGAGACCTGTGCATAGATCTGCTTACCTTATACTTACATAGCATTCAAAACAGTATAATTTTCAAGGTTGAGATTTAAGCAAACTTCCTTGCTTCATAGGATATTTGACAAACAAAGAGTGTTTTGTGAGTTCTAAATGACCATTTATTTTAAGCACGTATAACTGCCCAGAACCTAAATGCACTGCCTGATTGTTGCATCTAATATAGCATATGATTGTAATAGGGGTAGCTAAGACAAACGGTTCCGGTGTTGTGGTAGAAGTTAAGTTCTTAAGTTCCACAGAAACTAGATATCTTTCACATTATGGTAAGCTATTTTATTAAAATAGGCAACAACACCGATGACCGTTAACTGATATAAACGAACATGCGGCATTTATCTAAGTATCATAGATTTTTCACTGAATACTTACTCTAATTATAATGTTGCTTAGGCGCTATGTTGTAAGTTGAAGCTTTTTTCAAGAAGAAATGTTAACAGGGGGTAATTAAGATGTGAGTATATGTAAGTGTAATGAAAGTGTATGTGTAAAACTTTTACGAAAGTCAGCGTTTTATTACTGCAGGATCATTATAAAGTCGTACAACCCTCTTGATGATTCGAAAAATGCGTGAGACGCGCATTGAAGCTCATATCGGAGTTAGCACCGTGCGTATCTCCAATATCGAGTAACAATCGCCACTTGACCTGTGCCGTAGCGAGTCTTACCACGCATCGGCCGTTGTTTGTAAACAATGGATACACTCAAGTTGAAATACTTCATTTTTCGTTATATAGGCTGAACAATATACTATATTCATTTTTAGAAAAAATATATAATTTTTCTTGCTAAAACTTTGCATAGAACTTTGCATATATATATTGGTCAGCTTCTTTGGTTGACGTATCTGCTTCTTATTGGTAAACGCTGACCTAGCATCATTGCTTCTGAATGACAATCATAGTTTCCTATAGCATATGTCTCGAACTGCTATCTTTCGAAATATTAAAATTCATGATTGGTTAACCGAGAAGAAGGAAAAGAACTTATTTTTATCGGGAACTATTTTAAACCCGGTTAAGCTTAAATCTGAAATAATTATTTACTCAAAAATTAACTAAACATCTATACAAAAAAAAGCACTTTAATTACAGCAGAAACAATGCCAGCACCTACTTAGTAGTATCTAGACAGTAACTGGGATTATACGTACTGAAGCATACGCAGAAAAAGATGGCTATAGGCACGACAACAGAGAAGTGAACAAAAAACAATATTTTTGCCGTTTAGAATATAACGATGTGCAAGTTTTTCTACATACGATTTCGAAACGTCCCAATGGATCTAACAGAAAAAATAACACCACTGATCTTAGTAAAAATTTTATTACTATCATGAGCTGAGGCGCGAGGCATCCAAAGCTGAACGTTGTGTCAAAAAAACTGTTCATCGTGACTCGAAAGAATTCGTTCAGACCTCTTTGCGGATCATTACCGAGTCAAGGCCGAATTGCAATCTACATAATCTTCAATTATCTATATATAATAATAGATTATAGCCAGCACTTAAATTTGTCACTGGTGGACTACTTCTACTCGAGGCGTCGCGCGACCTTAACGTCCTTGATGGCATTGTGTCGACTTCGAAGCTGAAGTCGATGGACTTCGTTTTCAACAGACACCCAGACAAAGCCCACAAACTCCTTGGAACTAGTTGTCCTGTGAAACTAGAAGTACCGTTCAGACCAGTTAAGAAGGGAATGCCCTAATCTACATCTGTCCTATTAAAGATTACTGCTTCCAACTAAATGATGTGCAGGCCAGACTTACAAGTTCACATATTGAGTGGACAACCTGACAGGCAATACAGAACTTAGAGGATGCAAAATGGATACAGCGGTACCATAGCGCAAACCTAGATGAACTGGCTTAGCTCCAAGACTCTTTGTTGAAGTCCAGGTCTGATGCGCTTTCGTAAGACAAAAAAACTATACGTCGTACGTATTAATAAAATTTTTCGTGATTATATACGTTTGCTCATTAAAGTTAAGGATGCGTGGTAGTTTAGATTCGAAGCCTCTCTTGAATACACTTAGCCCTGTTTTAAAACTCAGCCGTCTGAAGCTAAGCTTAACAACAGCACTAGACGTTCAACGAATTTTTCTATCGGAACAGAAATTCTAGCACTGCACGCAGGAGACGTGCTACCTTTCGCTCTCCCGTAGCTTCCTAAAATAACGTATGATCGTTTAGTATGATCGTAGACGTTTCTTGCTGCTAAAACCGTACCGATAATCTCTGAAAGAACAGCTGTTCCCAACAGATCTAGTCTAGAGAAAATTAAAGCTCAGTCTTTTTTTATACCTGGCAGTTTTTCCTTACATAATAGTATTTACATGATTTAGATGCGGCTCATGATGGTATAAACATAATCACACATGTTCAGTCTAGAAAGTTTTAGAAAATGAAGAAAGGCAAATCTAATGTATCTTATTATTTTTAAGGTATCATATTTATTTTATTATTTAAGTAGTGCACAGTTTGTGTCCTGCAATATTATAGTAAATACTATAATTAAAAAGATAAAGAATAGGGCGGGCTTCATTATTTTCGACAGCCGTTAGGTGAAATAATAATAAAGTAGTACTCCGGTTTGACTGTGGTAGAACGTGAAGCGCCTGAATCGTAAAATGATAACTGTCTTAACCTAAATTCTTTAACGACAAAAGGTAACACTGTTTATACTGTGGATTACCCCATCCTATGTGTACAGTACCAAACTAGCATGTTTTGATTTCGAAATTTTGTCAAAAAAGGCTAACCATAACATTTTGGGAATCGACCTTGAGCATGAAAAGCTCATTTTTGTTTTAATTATGATTTCCTGTATGTCATTGTAGGTATTGTTGAAGCGTCATTTTATTGCTCACACTGAAAGAAGGCGATGACAGCTCAAACTAACTTAAATTTGTGTTCAGAAACGGAAGCACTGAAATAGAAGTGTTCTGAATTATCGCACGCTATCTCTACAATGTGCAAAGTACTTGCAAGTTCTTACTAGGTGTAGTACAATGTATACTTACGCACGCTCATTTTTTTTTATCACATAAATCTCTAGTGAAAGTCGCCTCAAGGTAGTTTTCTATTTTAAGCTATAACTAGTCATGTTGATATTCTTGTTTTGCTCGTTCTAGGTTTACCAAAATGTCGTTGAGTCTTTCCTTGTCCTTGTCAACTTCGTACATATCGAGAACTGCTGCCACAACGCTGCCTGTAGATAAATAACCAATGTTACCACCTAACTTGGATCGAAAATACTCCAAGTAGACCTTGATTTCCATATACGTTAATTCCCCGTTTGTGTATCTCATTATATCGTTATAAATTTTGGTGCTATCATGACTACCACTTCGTTCCTCATCCAAAGTGTCTTTTCGATCAAAGAAGCCACTTAGATTATTTTCACGTTTTGTGCGCTCCATATGTTTCAGTTTGAGCTGCCTGGCAGTCTCAGCCTCGAAATCTTTTTTTTCGTGAAGATTTTTTCGTGAATTGTTAGCAGCAGTTTCATTATCAGACTCCGAATCGCAAAGATTAACCCTCGGCAATGGTGGTCGAGAATCTATAATCTGGGTGGTGATTTTTTGTGGCTCGCGCATAAACGCCCGGGTTGGACAAGTTGCTTCAACATTTTGTTGAGCAGGTGAATAGTTTTCTTTAATAGATCGGTCTTTTTTCAAGCAATCTTCAATATCGGAACTTACATCGTCATCGGAACTAATTCTATGTGACGGTAGCTCACTTGAAGCTACATGTCGTCGTTTTGTTGTGCTTGCCTTGCGTTCCTTCGGGGCAGGCTTGTCACTATCCGAGCTGCTTCCGCTACCTTCCGATGTTGTCACTAAACGGACTCTCGTAATGCTTTGTTTTTTTGGAGCTAAAACTATCTTCTCTTTGATCTGAGATTTCGATATTAAATATTGATTATACTGTTGTAGGATGCTTGCAGCATACTGTCTTTCGGAATCCGAGTCTGAGAAATATTGTTTTTCCCCATCCGACTTTGATAAATAACTGTTGTCCTGAGCAGACGTAGTGGTATCCATCGGCGTAACAAAGCTGCGTTTCTCTGTGGAATTCGGCGTAACTACAGGGCACTCATCTTCTTCCTCACTCGAACTTTCTTGATCGTTCATGTACAGTTGACTACACGAAACTTTGAAGATTTTCTGCTGGCTGTATGTAAAAAAGCCGATGATATCTTCGTCTGACCAATCGCCTTCCATCAAAGTTGCTAAAGTACGGCGAACCTCAGCGAGACTAATACTGCTAGAGACGGACGCTAAGATGTTACTTTGTAGATGCCGGCACACATTAGCGGGATTCTGCAGAGATCGGAATTTGGCATTTTTCTCCATTGTGTTTGAAATCTTGGGTTTTGAGACAACGGTTATTATCGTAACGCAATTAGCTTAACAAAGCGCTGATACTCATTTTACGAAGAATGATACCTTTTCAATTAAGCACAAAGATAAGGCTGGTGCTTTTTTACTGTCTTAATTGACAATCGGCTACTGTTGTCATTTGTTAAGCGTGCACCGGATCCCCCGTATGACACATTCCAGTTGCGGCCACCTGCAGACATATTTAATTCACACTTTTAAATTTCTCTCTAGCTTGGCCTGGTATGGGATTGTAAAAAAAAGTGCTCCTTAGGTATGTTCATTGTCGTAAACGGTACAGTTGAATCACCACTATTTATTACAATTCATATTATGTTATTACATAAATTATACCACTATTGAGCTGATTTTGTTTCCTTTCGAGCGGTTTTAAGGTGCTGATTTCCTTCTAAATAAATCTACAGAGACGATAACTGGGAAATCGCGTTGTCCAAGTTCGGATTTCTAATAGCATGTCAGGGGTTACCACATTGAACACGGCTGTGAATGCTCGCATAGTTGCGGCTATAAATAAATTGTCAAATAATTAATTCCTTAATATATAAATACATATTCAGCTCAGTGACTCAACACTAATTTCCGGTTAAGTTCACTACTAACCATTTTTAGTGGTAGTATTGTGTTCATGTGATTTTTAATTTACAAAATTTAGGAACAAAAAAGTACCCTCTAAATATTTCTCATTGCATTTTTAGTATTTGAATCACATAGATAAGAGCAGCCTCTTTTAAAGGTTTTCCCATTTTTGGTTATACGTAATTCAGAACCCTTTTCGCTGTGATGTTAGCTCGTTACAGCCACCAGGGGGTACCACGCTGGATACTACTTAGGTCGTCAGAGATCTATTGTTACGGGCTGTGCGACGCCTATTAAGGCTGTAGTCCGACCATATAACGACTATTTTATATATTTTAGAACCATGATATTGGCTGCCCTAATAGTGCAAAGTATGGAGTGCCAACCTGAAATGACACTGACATATTACTAAACGCGAGAGCCATATTCGACAACATACGTTATGCAACAAAGCTAACGTAATAAAGCAAATGAAATATATATAGACACAAAATTCACCTTCCTAAAAGTCTTTTTTTCGTTACTAGCAAACTATAGCAGTAATTCAGTCCAATTGAGGGTAGAATAAGGGACTTGATGCACCAATTTCCATTTCAATATATAAGGCAAGATAAATTGGAATTCAACAGTTGCCGCTACACCTCCAACAAATTTTGAGTAGCTATAAGATACAAATGTTTTTCTGAAAAAAAAATTAAGTGACATGCTTTTCTCATATGCATATCAAAAAACTCAATAAATTATTTCACAAACGTCAACTGTGCACATCTTTCCACCACATGTTTATTGACTCCTCTCACCTTAAAGATTGCAGGAGCGTTTGCTGATTATCTTATTTGAATGTGAAATCCTTCTATTTAGATTTAATTTAACAAATGACATGCACTTTAATTTCCGAACCATCTGATTTTCTCACAAAATAAAGTGACGGAATTCATCTGTTTATAGTTGTGTTGTGAGAAAGGGTATATCGACTCGAGAAAGACCTAAGCTTCCCCGATGACGCGCGCTTTTTGAATTTGAATCTACGATCGTATTATACTAAGAGCAAAAGTAAGTTACAGCTATTTCGACTTGCATGAAGTTATAAAATGATATAATAATGGCTTAGCATAATATATTGACTGTCAGCTAGAAAAAGCAGTGATTCAATTTACCGTAAATCTCAAAATGCAACTAAAGGTGTGAATTTGGTATACATCAAGAATACATTTTAGTTGTTTTATCCAAAGCGAATTATACAACATACAAATAAATACGCAGTGTATCTCAGTTATAGAAAATGCCCATAATAGAAAACTATTGTATACACAAAGTCTGTGCATTCGTCCAGGTTTCGAAAAAGAACGACGGTTCAGTCTCAATAAGATAATATTAACAATTTAACAAGAAAACACGAAAAGTTTCCACTTCTATATCTGTTTTTTTGTAAAATCGATAAAATTACTAGTCGTGTTAAGAAGGATCTAAAAACAATTGTAAAGTTATTATCCAGAATGTGTATTATTTATTAAATAATTGTGTGAGTGCGTAACTGAGCAATATGAGCGAATTGAAATGAAGTGGCGAATGCCTTCATAGAGGTTTTTGATCTTATTATGTTCCGGGCACAAGACAATCTGCAAATGACTTTTATCAATCGAAGGGTTGTAATTAGTAGAGCAGTTACCATACTGCGATCTAATGAGGCTTGTCTTCGTATTGGGCATTGCTGTTTGTGATAAAATAATTAGCTTGTTGCCGGGATGGAATCACATTAGTTTCCATACGTAAATATAGCACATAAATGTAAAAACTATATTCCTAAATATATTGCTCTTATTTGTGGATGAGCCGTATTTGCTAGCATTAGACGCTGGCAGAAACTTAATCTATTATAATAATGGGAATCACTACAACCTGCGGTGTGACATTTTCAGAAATAATACTTTTTCGCATCCACGAAACTACGAAAACTTTAATTAGATATAAATTTTCACTGAAAAATATTGCCCCAACACATATAGATATTTTCAAAATACGAAAGCCAGAATAATAGCGGTGGTAAAGCTAGATGACAGCAACGATTACTTCTGGTATTAGTTTGGTGAGCACACTACGGTGATCGTCATTTCAACATAAAGTCAATGTCAATTTGCTTATGCGTAGGCCCCAACAAAGCATTTGTTAGTGATGTAATATTTCCGTGAAATAGAAAAATTCTTCGTTTAATGATGTCTCTTCCCGCTGTTTCAGGGGATGCATCAAAGGCGAATTCGGTAGCCAAATATTGTGCCGTTTCTGTACTCGGGAAGAAATTGCTATAAGATAATTATAACAATAGCAATCCCTACAACCTGCAGTGCGACATTTTCAGAATTTTTACTGAAAAATATTGCCCCAACATATATTAATATTTTTAAGACAATAAAGCCAGAATAATGGTGGTGGCAAAGCCAGACGATAGCAACAATTACTGCTCGTGTTAGTTTGGTAAGCACACAACAGTGGTCGCCATTTCAACGTGATTAATGTCAGTTTGCGTTTTACTTTCAGAGTTCAGCGCGTTAAGTTCAGTTTGCACTTTAAACATTCAATCTATAACCCCGAACCGCATTTGCTTTCTGCTTTACGCGCTTGTTATAGCAACGTGCACTGAATCACTAATAATAATAATAATAATAATAAACTTAAATAATAATATTAATCAAGTTAGCGCTTCTTAAGTAGGGTCTTCACGCTTAAAAATAACGAATCATAAAATCAACTAATACTAGGCAAAATGCAGTTCCACCGTGACATAGCATATAATTTTTCGGAAAATAAAAACCATTAATACTAGGTTCAGGTCAGGCTGTTAACTGGCCGTTTCGAAGTTATGACAGGGGACTGAAACAGCGTAATGTTTATATATCTTTTGAAGGTTATTAGGCACTGTATGTTGATAATAAGTGTGTGTATCTCTATTGGGCATTCTCCATTTTTCTTTGTACTTTCTAATTAAAAATGAAACATAAGAAACTCATTTTAATTTGCTTTAGGGGAAATTATAAGTTTAGTAAGCTAATTTACAGGTGGTTTGGGGCGTGTCACTCTTCTAATGCGTATTTAGCATTTCTGCAAGCCCCCTGAAGCATTCACCTACTTCGTGAATAAAAGATCTACTTTAAATTCTCAACAAACTTCAAATATTTATTATGTATTGTGGGCTAGTTGAGCATGCGTTATAAATTAAAAGCATCATTCACCCTGTGACATTTTTAATTGTTTATTGCTTTATTTAATCACATTTGCCAAGTAGTGTGCATTGTTAACGGTGTTTGAATAGACGACAGGCGCTTCTTTAAATGATAGTGGGTTAGAGGAAGTCGCTGAGTTGGACACATTTCCCAATACCGCATCGTGAATAGCGAATCTATCCATTTGTTGAACTAGCATGTTAAATGTCCAAGTTCATTTTAATGGGACAAATCAGTGCCGAGTGGCAGAGGTTTTATTCTTCTGAAACCAAATCTCTCTTTAAATTATCTACTGTAAGGTAAAAGTAAGGATGTAGTGTTTGGTCCGTTAAAACCCTGACGGCAAATGCCAGTACTGACTAGGTGGAGCTCTGCAGTAGATGTAGGTAACTAGTTGGAGAAAACACAGAGATTAAAATAAATAATATATATTAAAAACAGTAAAAGTGTAAAAGGTGTCATAGTTATAGAGCGGTATTTTTATATTCCTTCATTTTGAAAATAGTTATTCCTGTCCATCGTCATTCAGGTTTAACTTAGCCGAGGTCTTGTTAAAGGTACGTTTATTATTATTATTATTATTATATATATATATATATATATATAATTTTATTTTTTATTCTTTATATTTAATTTAGTTAAAGTGGTAACACGGCAGAGGTACTTTCCTAATTTAGCTTACAAATGCCTACGTCTAAGCCCTCCAACTAGAGTAACCTAAATCAATCTTAAACGAGTCTAAGATTTTCAAATCGAAGTTCTTTTGTTTGTAATAGATGACAATTTTGCCAATTGAAATTCATAAATTTAACACAGACCTCACGGTTACTACTGACGTTAGTGACTTAATTCAGTTAATCATTTTGTTCGTTGCTAGCTAGGCAAACGCTAAGTACATACGTGTCAATGAATACTTTATATAGCCCACAATAATTACGAGAATAGTTAAGATTCGATTCGTGATAACCTTCAGTCGCGCAAAATAAATAAAAGGAGCCATGGCCTATCTACTTACTAGATGACAGCTTATTTTGAAAAATTAATGTTACATCTATTGATAATAAGCAATGGATTATATGTTCGGCGAATCTACATTCTCAACAGGTTCGAAACGAACCACCATTTTCTGCGCATCTATTGGACCTGAAATCTACATCCGGACATAAAGGCCTACTAATATTTAGAGGGCTAATGTACGATGAGAATACTCTGTCAGTAGGGCAGCTGACCCTTAGCTCGACTAATTGTACCATCAACCCGTACGCGTATGTCGCCGATTCGATTGGGTGGAATTGGCTGAGGAGTGTTTCATGTTGAGCAGCGCAGGGAAGGGTGTGCGAGTTATAGCAGAATATGCAACTGACACCTCGTTCGGAACTTTACCGATAGAGATTTCGATTGCACCACTCCTTTTCTTTACATATTAGAAATACAGTACACAGCTGATTTAACAACAAATTTAATACGCCTGTTTATGAAGGTCAAAAAGGATTTTTGCGGGTTAATATATATCAGCAGTTCATATTATGTGTAAATTGTCACTTTATAAGATGGCGTCGTACAGTATCTAAACTCTTTCAGTTTACTTTTCGGCTCCTTTTGCGGAATAGTTCGGGTTTAAAGATAAACATCAAATCAATAGTGAATTATGAACAAGGGCAATGTAAGACTAGGCCCAGCTCTTCATCGTCATTGTTTGTAATTGAAATCGACTTTAATGTTATATTACAGGAGGACAAACATGTGCACAATAAAAAAAACATCCGTGAAGCTAAATTTGAGGATTCCCTTAAGTCAGTTCAGATGCTTTCAAATTTTGTTTTTAGACAATCGAAGTATTTGAACAAGAACATACTTTATTATGTTCAACTTTTCAATTTGACCTACGCCCCAAGCTTATTCAAATAAAAACAGCTCTCTATTTGATAAGATAGTTTTTTTTTTTAAAAGCCAGAAAAAGAAGCGAACCGTAAATAGTAGCATCTAGTTCAAACTGTAGTCAGCACCTTCTCAACGCTCAGCGTTTGATGCAGGTGATATCTTGCGCTGTGTCTTTTAGTGCCAAGAACGCTGCGTTTTCATGTCGAACCCAGACGATGATCGCATAAGAGGTCGAAAATGAGCAAAATCTGCCCTGTGGACAGGAGTGTTATTCAGCGATAAGGTGACTCATGTTTGTGTTTTAGCTTTACGATGGACTAATCGGCCGATTACGTGGCACGAGCGGGGCAACATCGCATACCTTATCTACGAGACGGGCGGTAAGCGGTAAAAAATGGGAGTGGAAATAGGCTATATTAAAAGATCTCCTGAAACATTCCCAACATCCCCGCTTTCCTATTCGAAGAACAGAGTTGATACTCCAAGCGAATATATCTGCGCTAAAAAGCCTGCCGTCGTAATACATTTTTCAATTGAAATATAAAGGGATATTTGTCTGATGCAAATGGAGCACCCCCAATGATCCTATACGTGATAGTAAAAGTAGATCGCAAAATTCTCCGTACATTTTCGTACTTTCTAATAGAAATTGTGTTAGTTTAGACTGATGATGGGCAGGATCGAACGAACAAGAGCATTTGTTTATAGTCGAAGCAGTGTCTTTTTTTTACATTTTAAGCTAACAGGTGGCTTTCAATTAGCTTTGATAGCTGAGCGTATTGAGGATAGCATACGTTCGTTGTAATATATCACTAGCAGTCTCAT